ACCGCTCCACAGCACGCCCACACCACCGCTCCACGGGGCGCCCACACCACCGCTGCACAGCACCCACCCATCCCAGGGACTGCCTGGTACCAGCCTGGCTGCCCAGGAGCCCGGGCCGGGGCCTTGGACACAGGAGGATGCGGCTCCCATTTTTTCCCACTGACTGCAAATGATCTCTGTTCTTTGCTCCACAGAACATCCGATGTGGTGCCCAATCCGCTGAGAAAGCTGCGCAGACGTCATTGGTTCTGAGTGTGTGTGTGTGTGTGTGTGTGTGTGTGTGTGTAGGAGAAAGAGAGAGGGAGAGACAGAGGGAGAGAGAGAGAGGGAGAGGGGAGAGAGAGGAGAGGGAAAGAGAGAGGTGAGAGGGAGGAGGAGAGGGGAGGGAGGGAGAGTGGGAGAGGGAGAAGGAGGGGGGAGAAAGGAGGGGAGAGGGAGAAAGAGGAGGCTGCAGCCACCCGCATGCCGAGTGGAGCCTCCATTAGGGCAGCTCTATTGATTTCTGACTCTCACTGCAGCTCGGGGCTCGAGTGCAGGAGGAAACAGGATTACATCCCAGTGACAGGAATTACTAACGGCAAACATTAATCTATGCAGTTTCCCATGAAAACCATCTATCTGTTCCTGAAAGGAATAAAAACGGGGGCATTGAAACGGCAAAATGGGAAGATTGTTAATAGCAGAGTAAACTATGTATAGGAAAGGTAGAGGACAATGAATTCAGAAAACAAAACCCTGGTTCAAAACAGTAAGCTATTTTTTATGAGAGATAATAATGGTCTACTTTTCAGAATGCCTTAAAAAAAACCTGAAAAATTTGACAGAGATATTGAAAAGAATAGTTTCTTTTTAGGATAATCTTAAAGCGATGCCCGAGCATTTTGTGAAAGAAAAAAGAAGCCCGGGATGTATTATTAAATGTGGTTCGATTGCTGCCTCGGCTAGCCAGCCCTCAGCTTTCTATTTCGGAGGCTCTGTGTTGCATAATATCTGGGCTACAGTCGCAGGCGGGTGGCGAGCGTTTGCGACAGAAATAGGTTCCTTCCGCGGCTGCCTTTCAGGGTCCAGCTGGGAGCCTGGGGGGCAGGGGGAGAGCTCTCGCCAGGTGTGTGCGGGACGGGGCAGGAGCTCTCCCACTCCGCACAGGCGTGTCGGCGCGGTCTCCAGGCAGCTTGACTGTATTACTGGCCCTTCTACCCCCAGAGAAAGAGAGAGGTGAGTCCAGCTGCACGATATGGGGCTGTCGGGCAGGCAGTCGGCGTGTAAGCGGCAGAAAACGACAAGCGGGGAACGGTCCATTGCCAGCTCCCCGATCACACACATGTGCGCGCGCGCGCGCACACACACACACACACACACACACACACACACACGCTCCCCACCAGCTGGCTGCGGGGAAAGGGCGATACCTTTTAGAAAAACCACCAGAGGCTGTGAGCCATGATTAGCAGGAGCGCTATCGAGCGTGCTTGCCAGACAGCCAGCAGAGCCGGCTCCGTCCCGCCCAGACATGTGCCATTTTCATTTTCATCAGCCACGCAGGATGGCTGCTGATTCATTTTGCGGGATGTCCCCCCGGGAGCCGGGTGGAAGCCGCGCGGCGGCTGCTGGGGCATCAGTGCGGACAGACAGGGAGCGTGGGGACAGCGCAGAGAGAGGCTTCGGCTCGCCGTGCCCTACATGCCAACATGGCCACTGCAGCATCCTCTGTGCACCCAAGTCCATCACAGAACACACAAGAGAAAAAGACAAAACTGTCACATCTCATTGCATTATCCAGCCACGCCCCCAACACACACACACACACACAGGCCACAGAATGCCTGGAAATTCTAGTTTTCTTCACGGCCCCTGTCCCCCCCACCTCTCTATTTTTATTTACCTGGTCACTAGCCGGGGTGGTATACCTGATTTAGCTGGAGACTTTGATTTGTGGGATTGACAACCTTATTATGCAGTGAGCTTATTATTGATATTATTCTGCTCTCGGTTGCCATGGCCACCTTGTGAGACACATTCAATTTTCTCTCTTCCATCATCATTATCCATGAGGCCATCTGTTGTGGAAAATGAATTCAGCCTCATTTGCATGACTGATAAGCAATTTTTTTTTTTATCTATTTAACAGAAGGTCATATGCCGGGGATTTGGAGCTCGTGAAAAAAAAAAAAGCGGAAAAAAAGCCTCTGGAGGCTGAGTGGGAGCGCGCGCTCGGGGATGTGTGTGGAAGTAAAACAGATCCCGCAGGCCCTGCCGCCAGCCTCGCGCTGCATTTGTCACTCCTGCCCGGCGACATTTTCTCCCTGAGCTAAAACAGGGAGAGCTGCCGCAGTCTGCGCGAAGCCCGAGTCTCTCACTCGTGCTTGGTGCGTGTCTTTTACTTTTTTGTTCTCTGGACTCTGGGTTCTAATATCAATATTCACTGAAGACAAACAGCAGCCCTCCTGCAGCTCCGTGGTAGGCTTTGCTCCTCGTCCTCCCAGCTGGTGGGGGAGCAGGCTTTCTTCTCTCTGGGTGTTTTTCTGAGCAGCACAGTCACCCCAGCTGAGCGTGTCTCCCTCGCGGCGGCTGTGGTCATGTTGTGAGGTATGTGGTCTGCGTTAGGTGGACGCTGTGGACGCGGAGGCAGGGGCTGTGTGACCGTGGAGCGGGCTTTGCTGCAATGCCTATTGTCTGCTCCATTTTCAGGCTCTCTTGCCAGCATGGCTGGGAGCTGCCATGTGCCTGGGCCGGGAGCCGGAGACCCACAGAAGGCTCTTTTTAAGGCGGAATGGGCTTAGGTTGCATGCCTTAACCGTGATGTTGTTGATGCAAAAACTTGCTGCATGGACAGAAGTTGGATGATATGCAGATATTGAAACAAACACTTCCCAGAGACTTTGCTGGATTACTTTCCATTACAAAGAAAGCAAGTTGTTTTTGTAGAGCCTGTTGACACAGGAAATATCCCTGATATAATGCCATATTTGCCTAATGGGAAGAAAGCTGACCGACCTGGATTAAATTAACCAACTCAAAGTTTTTAACTATGACCTAAATGAAGTTCATAATAATGAAACCATATTTAATGTATAACAGAAATGTGTCTTTCAGTGCAACTTGAATTTATAAACTAAATATTCAACTGCAAGCTGTAGCTTCAAGATAAATAAAAATAAGGTAAAATGTATATGTAAACAGTCATATGATAGCTATTAAAATATAGAGCTCTAATTTTGAATTTAGTATTAATTTAGCCGTGACAATTTTTATACCACTAAAACTATATAACCTATAGGATACTGTTATTTATTCAGACTAAAATATTTTTATAATAAGAGCTTTTTGTGTTTGTATTTTTTACTCAACAAAATTAACTTCCTAGACAAAAGTATATACTACCATCCTTACAGACACAAGGGAGTCTTTTTAATTGCTCAACTTCATAAAGTGATAACTAGAGGTATGTCTCCATACTTATAAAAATGTGATTATTTTAAGACTAAAAATATTTTTGCCCAATAATCCTTTTTGTAAACTAGTTCTTTTTCATCTAAGTTTTCACCTCTCAAGAACTTTGAATCCAGTGTTGATTGTATATTATACATGGAATTTAGTAACACATTTTAGGATAAAGGGAGTTTTTTGTTTTTTTAATTGACCTAAAAGGAAGTGTATGATTCTATCACCTCAAGTGTGACAACTCGGTTGGTTGAAATTCTCCTTGAAGTTGTGCTGGGTAAGACATGTTCTCCATGAAAGACAATAGACCATGGCTGATACGTTCGTCATAGTTTTTTACTTGATGGCACTTTTTAAAACTCTTGCCACAGTATCGCAGACTTCCCACAAGCAAGAGCAGCTGTTATGTAATCCTTCCTTTTTTTAATCAGCCATATTTTTTTATATTTCAGCTGGAGTCTTAGGGAAGTAATTTCATTTTCAGTATTCATTTCACACTTAGAAAGTTCAAAACAGGGAAAGCCTGTAGTTTCTGAAGATTACTTAAAATGACATCACTCCTCAGAGGACTGTAGCTGGAGCACCAGCAATGGGATCCCTGGATCCATATTCGAACACAAAACCCAGGATGCTGTCGCCTTGGGCCAGTGCAGGAGCCTTTAGACGGTGAAGCAGAACTGTCAACTCCTGAGAAGCCGGGAGGGAGCACCGCCGATCCCCCTCCCCCTCCCATAAAGAGAGTTAATTACCCATCTTGGTCGGACTCTTCCTTGCCTCGCTGACACTGGCTGCTGCTAATTCACTGATTAATCTCATTAATGTGATTAGCGTAGGATTTGGAGTTGGTGCCCATTGTTCTGTAGACGGTGCCATTCAGCCCAAGTACTTGCCACCTCATTCAGTTTTGTGCGATTTTTCAAAGGCTGCTTGAGTGAGCTATTGTGAGCCAGGCTCCTCGCCTGTCCCTTCAGCACCGGGAGCTGTCCGCTCAGGCAGCAAGGACCCTCAGCCGCCACTGCCTGCCTCTGGCTGACTGCAGGGTGAGAATGGCTTACTCTCCGCCTTAATGACTGTCTGCAGGCCGGCAGAAGTAGTAGCAGCTTCCCTGGGCACGCTGGGTGTTTTAAAGATGGTGGCCGAAAAGACATGCCATCTCTAGATCTTTATTTTGCATATAGAATTTTTGCCCTACTTTCCAAATGACCAAACAGAATATGATTTCATTACACAGACTTGCCTATGTCTATAATTGTGAGTAAAATCCTGTAAACACGATGGGGCCATGATTCTCCAAGGGAATATCTCTGTGTGATGGAGATTCATGTAACCAGTGAAAATGTTTATTTTTGAAAAGATGAGCAAGGATGGTCAAGATGGACCAGTCAGGCAGAAAGTAAACATGCAGCATCAATTTCAACTTCTCTTGAGTCACACTTGCATCCTATAGCCAAACTGAGGCCAATTTTATAAGTTTGTGTTAGAAGCTGAGATTAAGGATGAGGCCCCATAATTTGTGACTATGTACATGTGGTATACAAAAAATCCTAAGGGAATAGGAACACACAATTTTCTTTTGGGTAATACAAGTAGTATAGCATGATTTTAAGAAAGTGGGGGTATTTTCAATGTACTGTTTTCATTGTTCCTGTCATAGTTTTCACCTACCATTTATATTTTACTCTTGTGAATGTTTATATTTCACACCTTACTATTGAATATGCCCAATTATTTCACTGATGTTTTATGTCTGTTTTCTATGCCAATTTTCAATCAATTAGGGAACATAAATAAAATATTGTGCAACTTCAAAGCTTTTTAAAGTTTTTCTATTTGTTAAATTTATGTATATTTAAAATTTAGAATAATCTGATTATTTGATTTTGATTTTCTTTTAGAAATACTTTACATGTGATAAAAATGCAGTCACTTCTCTGTGAAAAATTACTTTGTTGCCCAAGTAATATTTCTAAAGTCACACGTGTGAGCTAGATTCCCAGCTCTACCCGTAAGATACCCTAATTTGAGGGAAAGGTGTGATTTAAAAAAACACACTGGGTCATCAGAAACACTTTGTTTATGTATTATACATTTTTGTGGCTCCATTTTTAACATCAAACTTAAAATTTTACTGATTCCTAAGTATTGTATATTAACAAGCCCAGACAGTGGCATAAGGGACTAGGGTGGTGCCTTCCGGCGATGCCACCCTGCTCTGACCTGGAGTGAGGCCCGGCTGGATGGCCCCTTCGGTCCGTGGCTGGAATTTCCAATCAATGACCAGTTTTTCAAATGCATCTGGCACTTTTCCATGAAGTCTACCTGGATGCAAAGCCTCACCAGAACCCTGTCTAGGAAGCCAGTGGACAGCAAACTCAGAAAGAGAGACCTCCAGTTTGGCTAAATGTTTATAATTAAATTACCCGATATTGTAATTTAATTGCAACAGTGTTAGGCATCTTCTTATTTTAAGGTTCTAAAAATGCCCTCTTCATCACTGTTTTCTTTGGGGGAGTCGGGGATGTGTAGCATTCCTTTGAAGGGAGCAATGGAGGATAAGCTTGAATAAAAACTTGAGAATAATTACCACGTTTTTCACCAAGTTAAGTTTCATCTCACTGTAGTCTTCACCATGACATTAACCTACATCCATTTCAAATTACACTAAAGAGATGAGATGCCACAAACTTAAAGGCGTATACCTGTCTATAATTTTTAAAATTTTCATTTTGAAGTTGCAGGGGGTAAATCACATCCAAATATCATATGTGGCTGATATAAAAAATACTTTAAATTAGCATATCCCACACATTAGAAATAATGCCCACAATGACTCTAACTTGCATAAGGCATCACACTAAATGCTCTGCCCTTGTAGTAACTGTATGATTTTTCTGGTGCCAGATCAGTTCAGGTGGCAGCTAGACATTTCCCATCACTAGGCTATGTTTCAATGAAACGTGGTCTCAGCTTGGAGTATGCTTTGTGCCCTACCTTCTCTCTCTCTCTCTCTCTCTCTCTCTCTCTCTCTCTCTCTCTCTCTCTCTCTCTCTCTCTCTCTCTCTCTCTCTCTCTCTCTCGCTCTCGCTCTGGTCTGTCTGTCTCGCCCCCGCTCTGTGTCCCTAGCACCTGCATTGTTCCGTGTGCACAATGACTTTCCGATGCCTGTTTCCACAATGAAACTGTTTGAAGCTTTGACATCCTAACGAGTCCTTGGGGCATCTGTGGAAATAATCAGGGATGGCAGAGAAGATGCACGCCAGGTGTATGAAACGGGAGGGAGGCACACGTGCTTGCTTATTAGTGGAGCTCTGCCGCCCTGGCTATTCCGCTAGAACACTGTCCTAACAGGTATCTCTAAAGAACACCCCTGCTCCCCACGTGGTGATGTTGGGAAGTTGGGAGGGGAGGGCAGTGTTTCAGCCTGAGAGTCAGGGCATTGTGCTGGAGGATGCGGGCTCTCTGAGCGGCCGCTCGTGGGCTGCGGTGATCTCGGCAGGGCTGGAGGGGCGGGGGACTGTCACCTCTGGGGGGACCAGCTGCCTGGGCTCCCCACGTCCGGCCAGAGGCTCGGGCTCCAGAACCACCTCTGAAGCCAGGGTCAGGTGTTCCTGGTCCCTGTGGACGCCTGCGTGCTGCCCCTCCCCCTCCCCCCGTCAGCGCTGTGCTCTGTGAAGGCCCCTGTGGCCTGTCACCGTGGTGGCTCTGCCCAGGCCCAGGGGCGGATGGAGAGCAGACGTGTGGGGAGAGGGGATCAACACGTGCCACGGACGGCCCTGCGGGTGTGCAGGAATAGGCTGCGGAAAAGGACTTTGCTCGGTGGCCACCAGCTCTCCTCCTAAGGTACCGCTCCTCTGATTTAAAGCTTGCATGTGGTTTTCCCGGTCGCTGCCGCTTCCAGCTCTTCCGGATGACCTCTTGGTACTTCCACACAGAGCTGTCTCCTCGCCTGCCTCGCCCGGCTCTTGTTGGATGACAGATTACACTTCTGAAAATCGCATGGTGGGGTGTGCAAATGAGCCCGCGGCGGGCCCTGCTCCGGGAGCTGCCCCCTTGTGTGCGTGGCCGTGAGCGCCGTGGTCTGCGTGCCGCCGGGTTGTTATTAAACACGAGTGCTCATGGCTCCGTCCGGGGAGGGTGGGAGGTGC